GGTGGTGCCTGCTATTGTTAACCGATTCTTGTTTCGCTTTAGATTAAATTCTCCAAGTTGAAATATATAGTTTGTTATTTTCATAACTACCTGCATATATTTACACGCAAACAAAGTTATACGCGCTCAATAAAGCCCTTATGTTATTCATTTTCTAGGCCAAGTAACACAACATTAACTTTTACATTTAACGTTTTCAACAAAAAAAAAAAGGGTTATCAAAAACTTTTTCGGCCCCTGGCGTAAATAAAATTACTAAAAATTAGGCTAAATATAATAAAAATTATAGCCGACCCTGGAATATACGAATCTAAATGCGTCGATAGAAATAACAAGGGGATTAACAAATTTTTATCAAACTTGGTTGGGTTCTAAAATGAAAATATTTGTATTCTATGCGCGCGTATAGACACTCGTATTTTTGGGAAGGTACTCTCGGACCTAATTACCTCAAGCTTAAATTATTTAATCAAATAAAATCTGAGTAATAGAAGGACCTTGTATTTTGCAACCAAATTTGCCACGTTAATTCGAGCTACATGGGCATCACTATTTGGCAACTTTTTTGTTAGTTTCTGTATTCCAACAACAACTTCAACTCAAGCAGGCGATATGTTTTGACGAATGTGCATAAATGGCAAGCAAAAGAAGATTTGCAGTTAAGTCAATTCACCCGCACATACATATATATGTATGAGGCAAAGTGAGATAGCAAGATCATTTCATTCTGTTCTGATATGTGCTCCGGGAGCACACATTTCGGAGTCAAAGTAAAGACAAGTCAAATAATAAAGCAATCAACTGTCGATTATGTGCGCCTGGTATATAGAGATGGCACTTTGCATTTGAATTGAAACCGCGGAGACTGACATCGTCTCAATTAAAGCCGACTTTTTAAAATTTTAAATACGCTGCTTAAACTCTATTCAGAAAAATGCAACTACCTCCCAAGCTCAATAAGACTGTAAAATAAGAGAAATATATGGTATAAATAAATACCTGAAAAATTATTCTTTCGATTTTCTTCAATTCTGAACCTTCTATTGCCTCTAAAAATTGAATTCAAATATATATGTACATATATTATTAAGTTTGATATAAAAAGGTCGGTTCTTGAATCACAATTTTTGGATTTTAGCTGATGCTCTTAATTAATTCTGGAGTCCAAAAAGGCATATCTTAACAAGATCGGACCTAATTTAACCGAACTAGACCCATTTAAAATAATCAGTTGATATCAGCTGATTTTGGGCCACGTAATTTCATGGAATTTACGCATCACTATTCGACAACTTTTCTGTTAATCTCTTTATTGCAGCAACACAGCTCCAACTCAAGCAGTCGATTTGTATTGACGAATGTGCATAGGTAGCTAAACAAAATGAGAGTTACAGTTAGGCATCGAGCTGCCTTTGCGCACATATGTATGTATGTAGCGATAATGGTCCAGACAGACAAAATCCGAATATGCGAGACTGAGATAGCTAGATTGGCGCTGCTGCACGTTTACACTCGGCTCGTAACAGCATATTCGTAGATAAATTAAAGGCAATTTGCAGATCAGATCACTCAGCGGCTGCCTTATCTGTGCGCCTAGTTGTTAGAGATGGCACTGCTGGCCTGCTATCGTCATAATTAAAGCCGTTTTATTTTATTTTAACTACATTTAACTACATATTTAAACTTATTCATAAAAATTCAGCTAAACGCCTATAATTAGATAAATAAATGCTAATAAGGAGATGATAATCTATTTTAAATTCCCTCGATCGGCAGATTGGAAAAGGTTTTGTATTCCTATTGATTTTGTAGAATGCAACTTTTTCAAATAATATGCATCTTGTCAAGATATATGCATTATATTCATACACAACCAGCAGTTAATAACATAAATTGTGTGTGTGCAAACTCGAGTGCTTGCACGTGCAAGTCAAATTGACTACTGGGGTCAAACTAATCAAAGCGGACGAAAAATAGAGCGATAAGCAAAACTGTAACTCCTGAGAGCGCGAGATATTGGTAGATAATGCACAGGCACGCATATACACATGCATATGTACGTACATATTTGGCGATTCTCTCCGAACACATTTATGCACGTGTGTCTGGTTGTGCGTTATCTATTTATGCATAACCGTATGGGCTTATGCTCCGAAAAATAAATCTTGTGAGAGAACGGTTGCTTGCTCAGTTTTCTGTCCGCCGTTTTTTTCGTCTGCCTTGCACAGTCGATGCTCGCACCATTTTAGTTTGACTCAAGCAGCCAATATAGTGTGATATTACAGTGCGCGCTGTAGACGTTAAAAGTCTTTAAATAATATAAATGTACTTTCTCATATAATAAATAAATGTCGGCCTTTTATCATTTTGGTGTCTTCGGTTGATGCACATCATCGTTCGGGTACCTATCATAACATTACGGCAAACAGCATAAGTTTTTTAATTATTACAAATACTTAATATAAATGTGTCTGCCTTAGGCTAAGCGAGATAGCGAGATCATTTAATTCTGTTCTGCTGCGTGTTCCCTTTGCACACACATTCTCAGTCAAAGTAATTGCAACGAATTCGTATATTACGCTAATAAGTAGCTGCCTACTGTGAGCATGATATGTAGAGATGGCCCTTTGTACATATGTACTGTATACTGTCTATGTACTTGAAAGCGCGGTGAATCGAAAATTATCATTTTAGAGCTAAGCTTTATTTCACTTTAACGACAAAATAATTTACACTTATGTATAAAAATTAACCTATTAATTATCTGAATGTTCTGTAACTTAAGTCGGATCCTAGAATATCCCTTCCTCGTCTCCTTTGGGTTTGGAGCAATAGTGATCATTAAAAATTCCACTTCTAATATTTGGACAAATTAAATGATATGGATAACATAAGGGAATCGCCTGTTAGAATGTGAGTGTCAAATTGGCTACTGGGGTCAAACTAAGGCGGACGAAAAATAGAGCGATATGCAAAAACCGTAACTCCAGAGAGAGCGATGCATTGGTAGATAATGCACAGGCACGCATATACACATGCATGTGTACGTACATATTTGGCAATTCTCTTTGCACACACTCGTTTGTAGTTGTGCTTGTTTGTGCGTTATCTATTTCTTAAGCTCAAAAAAAGAATGCCTCTTCTGATAGTTTGCTTGGTCAATTTTCTGTGCGCCGCTTTTTTCCTGTTTTTACAGTCGATTCTCATTCTTTGTTAGTTTGACTCAAGTAGCCAAGGTAATGTTATGTTACGCTGCACGATGTAGTCTGTTAAGAACATATGTAATTGGAAATCTCGAGTAAACAATATATATGTACTTATTTTCAAAGGTTTTACATTTTCGGGCTACGGCTCAGGACTATTAACAGGTACCAAACTATATCGGTCTTGTACCATGTCATAATCTCGGGTAATGCAATTATTTTTATTATATATTATATACATACATAAGTAAACAAATGTGCATGAACAGGTCTCGTAAGCCGCAGTAAGCCATTGCGCATATACATACATATGTATTAGGCGAAGCGAGACAGCAAGATCATAACACTCTGTTCTGCTGTTAAGCTTCGTTTGCGCCCAAAGTTTAAGTCGGAGTATGGGGAATTTTTATACCGAATCAATCAATTATGTCTAGTATATAAAGGGGGACCTGCTATCATATATTTAAAGAGTAGCTTGATTTTAATTTTATTTACATTAAGATTTGATCTTATTCAAAACCTATTAAATAATTTTATGGAAATATTAATAAATGTAGATCCTGAATTGATTTACCTTTTCAGATACCTTCTAATCAGGACCTTCGATTGCCACTAAAATGTTTCAATTCTAAGAATTAAGCCAAAATCAACATTTCGGGATTCCATTCGATTTCGTAACACCTCACGAGTCCAAAAGGTTGAACTCTCCCAAAGCGCACTTAATTCCTGCGAGCTTGTTGCATTTATTTGTAATAAATATCTGAACTATGGCGGATTTTGTATTTCAAACCTAATCTTACACGGAATTCGACGCTGCCAGTTATCACTTTTCGGAAACCATTTTGTTGCTGTTTTCATTGTAACAACAACTTCGTCAACTAAAGAAGATTTACACTTAAGTTGCCGAAGCGTCATTGCGCACATCTTTATTTGTCAACCAAAGCGAGAAGCAAAATCTTTGCATTCCATTCTGCTGAGAGCTACCTTTGTACACTCGCTCTGAGTCAAATTAGAGAAAGGTTTATAGTTGACTTTCACATCCTTGGTAATACCATACCATGATATAGTCCTAGTAAACCCAGAGGACCGACTTTTTGCAAAATACGCAAGAATGTTGTCCAAAAATATGTATGCTTTTTTTTTCAGCCGCCCCTGGCAATTGCCCCGCTCACTGATGGTTCCTAGTTGACTTTCATATCCTTGGTTATACCATACCATCGATATAGTCCTTGAAAACCTAAAGGATTAAATCCCTGCAGTTTGTTGCATTAAAATGGACCAAAAACAACCATGCTCTTTTTTTCAGCAGCCCCTGTTAATGAGCAGCAGAAACAGCTGCTAATTAACATCCGCTTTACAGCACTCATTTAACATTACCTGTAGCTTAACATCACTCAGTTTAAATGAGTTACATTTTTGCCCTTACGCGTATGCAACGAAAATTTTTATTCGAAAATACTCGTCGACCTTCTGAGCATTTCTGTTCGCCTGGTACTTCAGCGGAATTTTAGTACAAATTGGGGACCCAGCCGCCGACGAGGGCGCCCCTTTCGGGTATGCAACAATAAATTTTCGCCCGCTGAAATTTTTTGTCGACCTTCTGGGCATTTCTGTTCGCCTGGTATTTCAGCAGAATTTAAGAAAAATCTCGGCAGCCAGCGGCCGCCGACGGACAGATTTTTAACGACCGTTGATTTTTAAATTTGTTGCAATCCCATATCCATTGGAAGCAATAAAAAAAAACAGGAATTTGTTTAATAATTTTATATTAATATATTTTTTGTTAAAATTAACAAATTTGTTGTTTTTTACATGTATTTTAAATTTTAACTTAAAATGGCAATATCTGGCTTAATAAACGTCTGATACTGGAAGGATGAGCCTCGTTAGATTCGTAAAAGTCCTTAGAATCGAATAGAGTCCTTGAATCCTTCAATCTGAAAAGATAAAAACACATTTGAATTAAAAATGTCATCCGAGATATATAAGGGTTTTTTGAGGAAAGAAATAGCCATAACTCAGCCATATCCTTGCAGATTTTCAAAGGACATGGTGCGTTAGGATCGTGGAGGCCAACTGCATCGAACTGCATTAAAACATTATGGGGTCATCTAGGAATCCTGGACTTGGTAAATTTTCAGTCGCGGGCCGCAAGAAAAATTGACTGAAAACACAAAATTTCAGTAAAATCGCTATATCTCTGAAACTACAAGGACGAACTTGATGTCCTTTGGCCAGTTGGTAGGTCTGGTCAGTACAATTTTTTTGACACATGTCTTGACAGGATACGCAAGGATACAGCCGAGCTATGGCCTATTTTCTTTACTAAAATTTGTCCTTAAGACTTTTTTGTCTGAAGGACTTTCGTCCTTTGGGTTGCATATTTATAAATGGCAGGATGAGGACTATCTATTGTACAAAGGACATCCCGATAGTCCTTCAAATGGCGAAGTTAGTTAATTTTTGGCCATTTTCTGACTAAACCCCTTGGAAAAATTTTAGTGCAATTTTTTGTGGAAATATGGAAATCCTTGAATGCCAATCGATAGTCCTGCTCCCCACGAGTTCAAAATGATATATCCTTCCGATATCCTTAAGGATATGACCGAGTTATGGCTTAAAATAGAATGTCCTTTTTAGAAAAATAGCTCTAGCTCGGCCATATCCTGGTGGGTTTTCAAAGGACTTGGTTCGTTAGAATCGTAAGGACGAACTGCATCGAGCTGCATTTAAAAATTTAAGGGTCCGACAAATTTCAGCGCAGGGTGCAAGGATACAAGTTTAACTAAGACAATTCTTGATATCTTGGAAAGTACAAAGACGATTTTGATGTCCTTCGGTAAGGTGGTAGCCCTGCTCATTAGGAGTTGTCTGACCCTGAACATGAAAGGGACCGCAAGGAAGTGGCTGAGTTACAGGCAATTTTGTGTGAACATAAATGTACCCCTTTCTTAGGTGATTGAAGGACATTCGTCCTTTTATTTATGTATTATGAATTGGGGTGGTAGGTCCTGTCTGCTGGCCAAAGGACAGCGGAATAGTCCTCAGATCGGACAAGTTATTGGCGATTTTTTGATTAATGTTCTTTTCCACGATCGGATGGCCAAAGGACATTGAGATTGTCTCTAAAATGCATTTCGGGTGTTTGGATCGCATGGACCAGCTGCGTCGATCTGCATTAAAAATTTAAGCATCAGACAATTTTCAAAAGCGAGCAAATAGATTGAAATCACAACATCCTTGATAGGTTAGAAACTCTAATCACAATTTAAATGTCCTGGTTGATAGCCCTAGCCCGTACGCAAGTTTATGACCGAACCACGCATATTTTCCGCAATCTACAAACAAATATCCTTTTTACCTACCAAATTTGTAGGGCGTGGCAGCGGCAGTGTCGTCAGCATGAGATATTTAACGTAGTTCCAGGCCCGTGGCCTCATCTACCTGCGTCTAAATAGTGCAAAAACCTTCCATCCGTCACGCTCGACATACACCAAAACGGAAAAGTTGAAGAACTAAAATCGCCTGAAATTTGGGATTAATGTAATATGAATCGAAAGAGCTTTGACATATGCTCTTACCTTGTATCACAGCGAACAGCCTACTATGACGTCATCGCAGTCAACGCCAAAGATAGCTTTCCCTCTCTTTCACGTAATCCGCGCAAGAATTGCGACCTAGGAAAGATAAAAGCGTCAGTTATACACATAACAATTTTTATATATCAATTATTTACTAACTTGTGTCAACAAATGTGTTTGTAATGTGCACTATTGAATTGCCACCCAAGCGCAAAAGATATGATAGGGAACCGAACGGTGATGCTCCTTATCTAGAGGCACCAAAATAATAAAAGGTATACCCTTGGAGTTTTTCAAAGGACCTTGTACTATCCGATCGCAAAGATCATCTTCATCGATCTGCACTTAGAAGTGAAGTAGGCAGGACTCCAGTCGCGGAGCGCCATGAAACGCAGAGTCCTTATTATAGCAGCTACCAAATATTACAGTTTTCCAAAAGAACTTTGCTTAAATCTGGAAACAAATGATAATAATTAATATACAAAAATGAGATTAAAATTGACATACTTACCGCATGGCAGCGGCATAACCGCCCGCACAGGATATCCAATATATTTCACAGCCTGTGGCTTCACCTTTAGCTGGGAGCTGGCAATTGCAGCAGAGTTCTTGGTCACGGCGATAAAGGAAAAGCAAACAGCCTTTTTCAGGTTGCACAATGGAATTACATTAATTACATTGAGATTATTGGAACACGTTCAACATGTGCAAGCAGATAATACTTAATGGCGCCAAAATCCTCCCTTCGGCAATCTCGCCCAAGCTATAACAAAGCTGTTGACACAAAATCGCCTGAAATTATGGATAAATGTACTATTAACTGAAAGACCTTCGACATATGCTCTTACTTTGTATCAGTGCCAGCAGTCTATTGAGGCGCCATCGCAGTCAACGCCAAGGATAGCTGCCCCGCTCGCCGTAGCAGAACAACATTACTGAGCATCCGGTTAATCCTCGCAAGATTACTAGAGAGGATAAAAGCGTCAGTTATATATAGAACACATTACGGAAAACATGGGTGTGTATCACATATGTATATACTTAGGAGAAATAAGTTTGGTAATTTTCGCTCAACGTAGTTCACATTCCGTGGCATCATCTTCGCCAGAAGTTGGTAAAGAAATGGGGCTCTTGGTCACGGCAGGCGTTATTCGAAAAGGTATATTGTGCGCAATATAATTGTGATTGCATATTAACACTGCATTGCGCCTCGATAATGCCAAAAGCCAGTATAAAACGGCAAAGTTGTTGACCCAAAATAACCTGAAATTGAGGAGTGATGTAATATGAACTGCAAGACCTTTGACATATGTATGCTCTTACCTTGTATCACAGCAATAGCCTGACGTGAAGCCATCGCAGTAAACGCCAATTGTATCTGCCACAAAGCTACCCGTTCGTAGAAGAAAAGCATCACTGAGCATCTGCTTTACTAGAAATGATAAAAAACAAACATTTTTCTACATATATCATTTATATACTTGGGGGGAGCGACAAATGAGTTAAGACAATGTGCAAATGTAGGAAATCGATCGAAATGGTGCCTAATAAATAAAAGAACGTGATTTTATTTGCGCTAATTTATAATCATGATCTGAAGAAATATACCCGATAAATTATAATTATATTCTTAAGTCTTTAAAAGACTACAACGCGCAGCGTAACATCACATTTAATTTGCTGATTGACACAACTAACACAGAATGGGAAGCGCTTAAGAATTATGAGAAAGCTGAAGAAATACAAAGCGCACAAGCAAACACACATACAAATGAGTGTGAGCGGAGAGAATCGCCAAATATGTACATATGTACCTACTTATTTGCATGCCTATGCATGCACAGATTATCTACCAATAAATCGCGCTCTCACGAGTTATTGTTTTTGTTTCTCGTCCGCTTTGCGCCCTTGCATCTTAGTTCTGTGTTAGTTTGACCCCAGTAGTAAATTTGACTTGCATTGTCAAGCTGACGATTCGACAAACACACAATTTATTTTTAGCTGATTGCTAAATAAACTAGTAATAAGACTAGAACGGATCGGCTTTAAGGTAAAGAACATTTAGAATATTTATAGGCAACCGGAAGTGGATGTGCCTCAGCCGAAGACATCAAAATAAAAAAATGCCGACATTTATTTATGCTAATCATTAGTCCTGACCAGTGGAAGTTGAAGAGATATACGATTCGAAAGCTTGACGATATGTACACGAGAAAGTCCATGAGTATTCTTTAAAGACTTTTAACGTCTACAGCGCGCACTGTAAGATCACACTATATTGGCTGCTTGAGTCAAACTAAAATGGTGCGAGCATCGACTGTGCAAGGCAGACGAAAAAAACGGAGGACAGAAAACTGAGCACTTCTCTCACAAGATTTATTTTTCGGAGCATAAGCCCATACGGTTATGCATAAATAGATAACGCACAACCAGACACACGTGCATAAATGTGTTCGGAGAGAATCGCCAAATATGTACGTACATATGCATGTGTATATGCGTGCCTGTGCATTATCTATCAATATCTCGCGCTCTCAGGAGTTACCGTTTTGCTTATCGCTCTATTTTTCGTCCGCTTTGATTAGTTTGACCCCAGTAGTAAATTTGACTTGCACGTGCAAGCACTCGAGTTTGCACACATACAATTTACTTTATTAATTGCTGGTTGTGAATGCATATAATGCATATAAAAAGGGCATGGTTATAGCTTTAAAAAATCAGGCCGATCTTGACAAGATGCATATTATTTGAAAAAGGTTGCATTCTACAAAATCTGCCGATCGAGGGAATTTAAAATAGGTAATCGTCTCCTTATTGGCATTTATTTATCTTATTATAGGCTTTTAGCTGAATTTTCATGTATAAGTTTAAATAATAATGTAGTTATTATAAAATAAAATAAAATGGCTTTAATTATGACGATGGCAGGCACCGCCACTTTTTCAAGTAAACATAAAGTGCCATCTCTAACAACTAGGCGCACAGATAAGGCAGCCGCTGAGTGATCTGATCTGCAAATTGCCTTTAATTTATCTACGAATATGCTTTTGCGAGCCGAGTGTAAACGTGCAGCAGCGCCAATCTAGCTATCTCAGTCTCGCATATTGAATTTTCGTCTGTCTGGATCATTCGCGCTTTGTCTACATACATACATACATACGTCTGCAATGAGCACTCGATGCCTAACTGTAACTCCCATTTTGTTTTGCTACTTATGCACATTCGTCAATACATATCGACTGCTTGAGTTGGAGCTGTTGTTGCTGCAATAAAGAGATTTTACGTGGCCAAATTTAGCTTAATATCACAAAATCCGCTAGAGCTCAGCTGATTATTCTGAACTGCGTTAGCTTGGGTAAATTAAGTCAGATCTTGGAGACATACATATGTATGTACATAAGTAACCTTTTGGAAACGTGAGTTTATACATACATATGTATATAATTAAATGATTTCGCGTTAGCTGACACATGCGATATATGTATGTATCTACTATTGCGATGTTGTTCCATTAACTTGATTAGAGATTGATTAGAGATTGAGATTGTGCTCTGCGTGTGGGTGGAATTTGCACGGACACGTATTGAACACACGCGCGAAAGATAGTTTTGCAACACGGCTCTGGCGTGCCACGTAGAAAAATATGAACAATGGTGACATTCACAAATCCCTCGAAATTTTGGTGCTAAATCTCTGTCACTTTTTCCAAGTTCATAATTTAGTCTGTCAATTTCATCTCCGTCGGTATTCTCGGCTGCCGCATAATTTATAACCTGTTTAATATAATAAATTTCCTAACCCAAAGAGCAAAATGTTGTCCTGGCCATTTAATAGATGGCAGGAAATACGCAACTAAATGGCTCGAATGCCATTTCGCAACTGTTGGACTCGCTTGCCACACCCACACACTCATGCACACACACACACACACACACACACACACGTACACAGCTTGCCAGTCGTTTTAACGGAAGTGCTTTTAATTAGCCCACACAAGCACAATTGGCCAAGGGCGGGGCGCCAGAGTACTAGATGAAGATTGGATGAAAGTGCACATATTTAATTAAAGCTTTTGAATTAGTTTTCAATGAATGTGCTCAATGGCCGAACGACGCAGACAGTTTTGAAATCTCAACGCAATCTCATTTTGCTCTAGGTGCGGCCAGTGGGGATATTTGCTGCAGCTGCGCGACGTTCTGGTCCATGAGGAGAAACTTTTTATATATTTCTCATATTCCATCAACTTTTTACCATTGCTTATTAAATGCGTCTTACAGTTATGAGCAAACTTTTCGACAGCAGATTTCCACGTACAGCTGCTGATGACATCATCATTAGGCAGCAGGAGCCTTCTTCTAGTCCTGGAACTGCTTAAGCCCCATCTCCATATTTCATAGGCCTGCATTCAAATCTACTGAACACCCTGTACCTTAAATATGTGCAAATGTGAAAAGTGAAAAAGAAGAAGGCGCCCTGTAATCCCTTTTACCTTCACCACAAAAAGTCTCTATTTGGATTTTCATTTTCGGCATGTGCTAAGACTGATTTGTGCCTGGGTATCTTCTAGTCGGATACTCGACTTAAATATGCTTGTTTGCTTTTAGCTTTTTACTCGGCCATATTGACAGCGCAAATACTTGAAATGCCAGATTTAAACTCTTTAAGCTTCGCCGAAAAGTAGGCTATAAATTTTAGACAATGATTGGGCTAAAAAGGAAATAAAAGAAAACTGAATATATGGAGACGAGTGGGTCGTGGTATATTTAAATTCCCACGCCAAACGCTTTAAGTGCAGTCGGGTTTTTCTCTCTCTCTCTCTCTCTCTCTCTGCCCGATTCCGTCTCTCTTTGCATAAATAAGATACTTAGGAGCTTTGGCAAACCTTTTCGGGACATTTCTTGCTAATGCGCTCATTATAAATACATGATAAGCAGCAGCGTTCTCCCTGGGCTGAGCCGCACAAAATGAAATGTCATAGAGCTAACAGAGGGCAACAAGAATTTACTTTTACTTTCATTTTCACTTTCTCGCAGCATTCGCCGCAAAAACGTCATCATAACAACTTTGTTGACTGGCTTTTTAGGGCAAGTCCCCATTTCGCCTTCTCGGAATAGCCTTGAATGTCGAACCGTAACCCAAACCAAAAATACCAAAAAAAAAAAAAAACGAAGCATGGAACCCTTGGCCTTTTGTTTAGGGGCTAAAATACTTTCGCTGTCGCCGTCGCATTCAGTTTCCCTCTCGCTTTTGGGTTTTGGCTCAGTTTAGGGGTCCTGCCTGCGGGGTTTTCCGGCAGCACAGGCCAAAAACCGCAGAGTCATAAGCCCATTAGCCTTGCTGGGCATTGTTTTATGTATCTACCTAAACCTACACCATGCCCCGCCCCCCCTGGCCCTGGCATGTGCCTGCTCCACGATCTCATATGACGTTGCCTTTTGCTCTGCTGATGCGGAAAATGAGCAAGGAAATAGAAACGCCCACACACACACACACACACACACACACACACACACACACACACACATACACACACACATACACAGAGCTACGCACACAACAAGGACAGCAAAGTCGACAAGGTCTTGTTAGTTAAATTATGCATAAATGCGGCAACATGAGTGGGCGTGTCCTGCGCCTACACCTGGCAAACATAATAGTTTGCGCACATTTGCAGCAGGAAACGAAATTGCGTATACGACACGTGTGTCACAATTTAAGTTAGTCGGAAATCTCGTTCTTTAACAGCAAGCAAACAAAACTAATGAGGGCAAGGCAGATGCCAACAAAATCGACGATAAACGTAAATACTAGCACGCAAATCAGTAAATGCCAAAACCGACAAGGAACAAATGCAAATACACAAAAGCTAACAGCCGTATTGAACAGAATATTAAACAGAGGTGATAACCAGTTGAGTAAATAGATAAACAATAACAAATACTGCACCCACAAATTAAGCCAAAGCCAAAATAACTATGCCAGAAATAATGTGTCGAGTATAAACGGAGAAATAATATTAAATAAAGTCTGTTTCAATCTGAGCAAAATAACTCAATTAAATTCGATTCGAGAGAATATAATTGAAATGTCTGTGTGTTACTTAAATTGTTTTTAAATTGATTTCACTTTTATAAATATTTGTACAAAAAAATTTATATTTTTGAAAACATGAAAGCTTCCAATATCCATTATCTTCCAATATCTAATCATTACATTATTCTTTATATTTTTATTTTTATTGATTCAAATTTGTGTTTAAATTGTAATTTAATCTTTTGTGTATGTTAATGAATCTCATAGATCAAGACAATCTAAATTTGTAAACCTAAAATGCGAAGCTCCTTTTAAGTTGGTTTAAATATAACAAACTTGTATCTGTAATTTTTCAATATTCTCTTCCCTGTTTCAACGCAAAATTGTGCGGAAATCGTTTTGCAATAAACATTTTCATAAAAATATAAATATAACGCATACGCCGCGTGATCCATACCAAAATGAATGGCATGTAGGAAAAATGCAAAGTAAACAATTCATGCACTAAATTGAAATGCAAAGCATGTGCCACAGTGTCTGTCGGTCTGTCTGTCCGTCTGTCTTTCTGGCTGTACGAATACTTTTATCTGCGGACTGTAACGAACGACTGCCATTTCTTATGTTTTCGTCGTACTCTCTCCTCCATCTCAATAAATAAATTCTTGCAAATTTTCTGGAAAAAAAAACAGAATGAAGAGGAAAAGCAAAGGAAAACGTGGCAAGGAAAAGTGCACGAAATTTCGTCTTGAGCTAAACAAACGAAAACAAATGGGCAGACAAGGGAACAGACAGACAGACAGACAGACAGAACGAATGAGAGAGAGACAAATGCAAACGACGGGGCAGCCATTTTTATGGCGCTAAAGGATGAGTGTATTACAACAACAACAACAACAGCACGTATATGCAGACGACTTCCATTCAGTGGATGTCGTGTAGATAGGGCGGGACAGGGAGAGGTATATATCTGGTGCCTTCTTCAGTTTCCTGCGGCGCGTGTAAAGCGTTGAACATTTTTAATGTCCATCTGCGTGCAGATTAGCATAAAAGCAGCTGACTGGATGGAGCCCCCCTTCCCCACCCCCACCGAACACACTTTAGCAGCTAGCCATGTGCCTGACCCGCCCATCTTGGATTTTGCCTGGTTTTTTATGGACGTACCCGTTCGGACGACGATGAGCTGGCGAAGAGCCGACCCGGCACTTTGTCCTTGGAGCGTGCGGTGTCGTTTTATGTCTGCTTAGCTTTAAGTACGCAGCCATTAAACAATTTTTGAAATGGCTTGATTTTTCGTTGTATATAGAGAGCTTACAAGTTTTATGATCTTTAAAGAACAGAATTTAGCTAGGATTAGGCGAGGTGTGGTCATAGTTGCTTGACAAAAGGATATGAAGATATCTATTGAGGACTACTAGTACTTACGCTATAATATGAGACTCAATGACAGTTGACTTTTTAATGCACAAGAAAACTATAAAAAGGAACAGTATGGGGAGAAAGCTTTAAAAATTTAAAAGCCAACAGATTGGCAAATTGTAGTGAAAAGTAACATTCTGACCTTCTTAATGTGAATGCTGCCCGAAAATATGTAATTGAAACATATTATTTAGAAATTGTATATGCCTTCTTACTGCATTCATAGTATGATTGCAATTCTAGACTAATCAGATTTTTGTGAATATTATATTAGTTTAACTGATAATTAAATTAAAAGTGTACGACCTACCTTAAATTTCGCCAACTAATCATATTTAAATTTATTTCCATGCTTCACAGAATGCGCTCGTTTATTGAGGAGAACGAGAAGAATGATCCATTGATTAATGCTCCGGATAAAAAGAACAATCCGTGGGCTGAAAAGGGCAAATGTATCATCATGTAATATTATCGCAAACCACAGAAATACCGTAATGATGAACATCTAAACAACAACAACAACAATAATAACAATAAAACCAATTCAGCTAACATTCCAACAACAACAACAGCAACATCAACAAATCAATACCAAAATAATGATAACTATTTAGCGAGCAATCGATGTAGCAGCAGCCAAGCATCCAATTCCCTAGATCCAGTACCGGTAGAGCTGCAGCATTACAACAACAACTACTACTATTATTACAACTACAATTTGAGCTATGCACCGCCGCCGGCAGCACCACACGAGTGCCTACTCGGAGGGCCCAAGGGCCGCCTCCAGCAACTGAAGCGTCGCACCCGCCACGAGCTGCAACAGTGGCCGCTGCTCATGCAGCTGGTGGTGCTCATCCTGTGGCTGCATGCCAAATTCTGGCATATCGTGAACGAGCAGATCCTGATGCACCGCAGGCGCTGGCATTAAGTGGCGAAGCAGCAGCGAGAGGCAGAGAAATGGAGTTGGGGCAGCTTGTTTGGTATGCCGTGAGATCTAAGCTTAAGTTCATAATTATTCCACTCTTTCCAAGTCAATCTTAATAAATATAATCACAATATGCTGCATACTCTAAATGCTACCCCCAAAGACAACAGTTCTGTGCAACAGATTTCTACAACAACAACAGCACGCAGTACAATTACAGCAACAACAACAACAACAACAACAACAAACACATTAATGGGTACTCGTTCTTGTACTCGTTTCATCGTACATCGTACGCTCTCATCGCTGTCGCTGTCACTGTCGCTGTCGTCTCGTTTCTATCTCTCTACCTCTCTTTTTGTTGAACTAACGCACCACACTCGCTATCGCTCGCTCTCGTCGTTTATCTACTCGTAGCTCGCTCGCTCGTTCATCTCTGCGTTTCTTTCTAGCTATCGTCTGTAGTCGTTATAGATCTTTCGGTTGAAGCATGCAATACATTTGTAGTTCCTATGTTTTAATGTTTTCTTATATTTCCTTTATTCATATATAATTTATTGCATTATCTTCATCATCATCATATCATCAACGAATCCCAGCCCACACGATCCACACACATTAGGCGACAGCGCTAACTATCATATCCAATGCTAGAAATGTCTAAATTGCCTATATGTTAAGCCTCGATAAATGTAACCCACCCATCAAACTATCTAGTCAAGAAAACGTAAACCAAACTGTTTGCAACAATTTTTGGTAACCCTTGATGCATATTTTAACCGTTTTATTTAACCCGAAGCCTAAAAGCAAATCCCAACTATTTTATGGGCAGCATTTTACACAGGGTTTCCGTTTGGCTAGCCTAAGAAATCACTGAATGCGGAATGTGGGCATGAAACAAACGATCTTGCTGTTTCATTCCCAACGTTCCCAATCAAACGTACTTCTTAAACTTGTCAAACGAAACGAACCTATTTTGTTATAAGTTTTTGACATAATCCAGCTGCTATATACAACTACAACAGGCTGGAATGTGGGCATGAAACAAACGATCTTGCTGTTTCATTCCCAACGTTCCAGTACTGTGCGTACTGTGTAAATTGCAGTGCTTAAAGTTTGCCAAACAAAACAATTTATAAACGATTTTGAGATAAGTTTTTGACAAGCTGCTAAAAAAACATAAGATATTTATCGGGTGGACCTAAACCACTTAGTTCCGATCTAGTAGAACATTATACTACATTAATATTTTATGTACTTAGTGAAAAGGAGAACACGTATTTTGTGTAGCGCTTTCTTTTTAGCAAATACGAAGGCAAACGCAAACCGATAGACAATTTTACGTATGGTTTTCTATTAAGAATATACTTATATATTAAAATACATACTTATATGAATACGAATATGATTTTGTATACAATATATGCATATATATAACAATATATGTTTAGTCAAACGAAACTATTTAAACGAAAGGCAGACGCTGTAGTTACTGAACGATAATATTTATTTAGTTTTAATGCTATGTTTATCATTAACTAGTCAGATATTATTATATACGCAAAACACAACAATAACAACAAAGACAAAGATACACTCGAAAAATACACACAATAACGATTAATGTAGTGCGATTGAAACCATGATATCTACATATATGGCAAATAGTTGAAACCCAATTAGTAGAAACCAAATCGAATATTTTGAAAAAGCAGTCGAGAAACCGTTGCGAAGTCAGCTTAAACTTTATATCTTATATATAAAACTTCAAATGGACTTGACAAGCTGAATTTCGGAAACCAAAGAATGCTAATTATACATAAATTAACAGTTATATATAGTATACTATTTTGAAAATGAGGCGCTGTTCAGCTGTTTGAAACCAGAACAAACACATAAGTAGTATGTGTATATACTATATATATATACATATACAAGATCTTAAATTGGTTTACGTTTAATCAAATGCTAAGTTATGCCTATGATTTTAATTAAACATAACTAGTGTTATATTTTTAGCAGAAAGTTAAAAGACAACAACAGAAAACACGACACTACACTACACAAAATACACTCGTCAAAAATGAGGTTACCAAAAGAAATCACTTATGAAAATACAATTCGAAGAGTAAATGTAGCGACAACAAGCACATTTGACTTTAAGATAAAGAAGACACAACAAACGAACAAAAGTAGAAAATTGAAAAACGAGCGTAAATTTAATTAAAAATAAGTCGCGCAAAACAACAACAACTTAACTAAAAAGTATGCAAAACAAAAGTTAAAACTTACAAAACTTAAAAACTTAATAATAAGAGCAGCAGAACTACAGCAAAGTTATTTGAGAAGCAGAAGTAAAGTACGAGTAGCTGAGGTACTACAGTAAATTAAACAACAGCCTGCCCAAGCGAGGAACGCTAGAGAACGGAACAACGGAATGGAGCAAAATCATAAAACCGATAACCCACAAAAAGTAGATGCAAAAACCAACGTAGCAGTAAGCAACAATGTGGAATAAACGTTGTGCAGTAATCTATTACAAAAGATCTAGGAAATTCACACAAAAATAAAAACGAAAGCAAAACACTTGGGCAATGAAACGCATGAAATGGAACGCTCTCAGCGTCAATAGCACAAAGTAGCAGCCAGCTACAAGGCGAGAACCAAGCTGCACTTTAAATCTACATATACAACATATATAAATTAATTAAGGTATTGGTGGTTACAGAAAAAAAAAAACATTTAAACAATTATATAAAGTTACGAATTAAAATTTGAAACATTACTAGCGAAACAATGGAATAGTATAATCAAAAGAGCAGAGCCATGTCAAGCATACGCAATTGTTGCATTGCCGCGGCTCGCAGACATGGAAACGATTGGCATATGAAACACGTAGCGTTGCCAGACAGCGCCTTGCTTTAAATGCCACCCGTTGCGTGGCTGGGTAATAGTTTAAATCAAAGAAAAATGTTCAAGCTAAATTATAAATGTATTGTAAGTAGGTGTCTATTGCTTTAAGCACTTCAATTGTGCCACACAGTTAGCCTAGACAATTGGATTTTCGATAAAACGTTTTCCCGAGGGTTTCCATTAGTCCAGCGTTGCCACTGTTCAAGAGCGCATTAAGCACGCTGAGTAGTCTGGCAAGGAGTCCAGACGAAACGGGTGTGAGGGTGCCACGAAAATTGTGCAGAGCCCCGCTGGACCGAGAGTATTACAATTTTGAGAAGTCTCCCAATGCAATGTCATACATTTTCGTTGGCTAGGCTCTCGTTGTGGCATAAGGTTTGCTCAAAGCACACGCACTCTCAAAATATTTAATCGAAAAATGCGTTAATTCAAAATCGTTTTTTAAATTAGTCAAAACTACAACAAAAAAATCCACAAAAATTAATGTTGAGGGTCATATGAGATGTGGAAAGTTAATGGAAAGTTAAATAACAAGATATATTAAACATACATTTTAGTGATTTTTCCAAAGTTCTAACATTACAATATACGAAAATTTATAAATGTTACAATTAAAATATATTTATTAATTCAATATAGTACATATATACACATATATAAACATATGTAAACGTATATATTCAAATATTTAAAAACCAGTTAATAGCATTACATAACTACTCATGAATTGATGAAGAAATGTGCATGTTATATAACAAAACTCAATTAATCTAGCTGCTAAGTGATGGCCGTTGGCAGTGTTGCGAAACGACACGAGAAAAAAAGTACAGCATGTGCCAAAAATTGGTGCGCCAGAGTCAAAGCGAAAATATAATTATTATATACTATTATAGAAATCAATTCTCTAGCATGTAAGTTGGTGTTAAAGTTCATTCCAAGCGTTTAAACTCAATATATAAGTACATATATTATATGGACATACCAATTATATAACGAAATATTACTACGTGTATTGCTTAAATGAGTGTAAAAGTTACCATTCACAAAAATACAAAACTTATTGTTACAATTTAGGCTATTAAGTCACGTAACTATTAAGATATATGGACATATAGATTAATACCTAATTTTAGAAAAAATGATTGATTCTTAAACTTGTCGAAATGCGAACTAAAAAGACAAAAAACAACAACACGGTGCCGCACAACATCCAAGGCTAAACCAGAAACCAAATAACAACAAAACAATTATAATTTAGAAACAAAAAAACATAATTAAAAACTAGCTAGTAAGTGAATTTTAACGCAGCAAAACCAAATAACAAACCAACAAAATACACCATACGTCAAAAACATTACCAGAAAGAACAGAAACAAAAAATTCAAATCGAAAAACAAAAAACCCACTCAAATATTATAACAAGTATTTAGCTGTTAAACAACAACTATTTAACAAAAAACTTTTAAGAACAAAAGGCAAACAGAAAAAAAAAAAACAAAAAAAAAACCATAAGTATGATTATCATTAAAGGAACTTCTCTAAATAAAAGTAAACTTTGAAAATCCTTAGCGGAGAAAACTACCCTCTCTATAAAAAAAAAAAACAAAACTAAAAAACTAACAAAAATTGCGCTTGTGTTTTATTTTTGATCCCTCCGTCTATAAGTATCCACCAGCACAGAAAATACTAAACCTGGTATTGCTTTGAATTCCCCGTATGATGGTATGATGATGCTGCTTAGTTATGCTTTTATTTCGACTCTGCTGACGCTTTGCTTAACAGTATATTTTTGGTATTTTCATTTGCATTTTATTTCAGTATTTTTGGTATTTTCTTATGTTGAATGTTCTTTTACCCAGGCTGTATATTACTGCGCAGACATTTAGCTGGAATATTGAAATGTACATTTGATGACACGAGAATTCAACGTTGGCCATTCCATGACATGATCTTGGTTGACAGGTGTCTTCGGTTTGTCAGTAAGTATTTGGGGGAGTTGTCGACAGTTTATCAGGCAGCTAATGTCAAAGAAAATGCATCTGTTGTTGCAAACTTTTCCGAGCCCGTCTAGCAAGCCAGCCAGCCAGCCAGTTGATAAGCAGGCAGGCAACAAACTTTGCAGCAGGACAAGTTTGCACTTGATGCCTGCGATAATGCGCCGTTGCAAGTTCTGGCGAAAGTTTTGCGAGCAAGTTTCATGTAATTAGCAAACGGTGCGTATGCGTAATGAAATTAT